ACAAAACCAAAAAACAAACATGCAAAAATATACTAGATAGCATTTAATTTTATATAGCGCAAATCCCCGCTCAACAGCAAACTCTATGCGCTTCACATTCTATACTATTACCCCAGCAGACCTGAGAGCATTCTGAAACAAACTCAACTTCCTGGGAAACAAACAAACAAACAAACAAACAAACAAACAAACAAACTCCAGGACTCGAAAGAAGGACAGTCTTATTAAAAGACAGCAATTAAAAAACAAAGCCCGCCAGGGAACTGTCAGCCAGTTGGTGGCAGACGTGATCAGGGCGTCTCTGGGCGCAGCAGGAGAGAGAAAATAGGGTCGCTTTTAAGGACAAGATGGCTGACCCAGATTTCTGGGGTTTCCAGAAATATTGACCTACACCAAAAATGGATATTGCCCGACCTATAGGAGAAGTTTGGTTTCACTGGAATGTATATTTGTTTGGTTATAGAGAAAACTCTCCTTGTCTTATAAAGAAACTGAACAAAGGGCAAAAACTTTACCTTCGATTTTCTCATAATATCATTTTTCGGGATAGCCCCCTTTGTCCTTAAAAACGACCATATTAAATGATGAGGCGTGCTGACAAAATGAGTTACTTTTCACAATCCAAGAATGGAGATATTATTGTCCAAAAGTCAACAATGGGGTCAGATTTATTAATTTTCAGTTGATGCTATTTTGTTCAAGGCGACCATGTCTTTTAGTATTCCATACTTACAAATTGTGCAAGCTCCAACGACAAAGTTGAGGAATCAATTTCCATACGGTTAAAATCCGAGAAGTAACTCATTTTGTCAGCACACCTCACATACCATTGTTTGAAAGAGAAGCACATCGATGCAGTAACGGTTATTTTGGTGTTTAGTGTGCTCCAAAATCCATGGCACAACTTATTGTGAAATATCTCCTTACCTCCTATCGAACACAGATTCTCCAACTTTCTCACAACGACTTATATCAATTTGTCTTAACAGGTGAATATTTTTTCAAATTCCTGCACACTGTATTCTAGAAAATTCTTTAATGAACAGTAATTTTTTAAAATCACAGTAGATGGTTTGTATGGATTTTAAAAAGTTTACAGCTGGGGGAATATGACTTTGCACAAATTTTCCTCACTTCAACCAGGTGAAAATGTGGGTACCCGGCTATAGACAGTGAAGAATCTTGTCAGTTTGATAGTGTTTGAGCGCGTGAAATCCGCAGCTTGCACTATATGCTTCCGCGGAAGCCGAGAATGTTTCTGAGTGTTCTCAGAGGGTCTGCTGGGGTAATAATAATTGTAAAGTGCATAGAACATGCTCTTGAGCATAGATATGCGCTATATAAATGCGATTCTTCTTATTATTATTATAACTTGCGCCACGAATTTTTGACCGCACTTTAAGTGAAAAGTAAGACACATTAACAGAAACAGCTAAGGAGCAGAATAGAGATAGGACTTACAAG